ATAAATATGAAGATATAAATATATAAAAATATAAATATATGTAAAAATATATAAAGATATAAATATATCAATATATAAATATATCAATATTTAAATATATATTAAAATATATAAATATATTTTTATTTATAAATTTTATATTTATATTGTACGGATATACATTTATTTGTATATAAATATAATTTATTTGTAAGTTATTATTAAAAGATCCTAGTAGCTCGGTGATTGGAGTTTCATCCTCCAACTCTAAGGTGCAGGGTTCGAATCCCGACAATGACAATAAACCACCTAATAATCCTAATAGCTCTGGTCACCAAAATCAGCGACCAAGGAAATAGTGACCGATTCCAGTTGGTCACTATTTCGGTCACTATTTTAATTAGTAACCGATTTTGCATATTTAGTGACCGAATTTTCGGTCACTATTTGATGTTTTTCTTGTAGTGATGGGTTTTTCGTATCAAAGAAAATGCAGATGACACTGTCAACAAATAGAAGACACGTCTTGTAGCAATATGATTTCATTAAAAATTTGATTATGATTATGGTTATTCAGAAATATATTCTCCAGTTATCAAACCTGTTACTGTTCTCCTAATCTATTAAGCAAGTTGATGTTAATAATACTTGAATGGTCTACTCCAAGAAGAAGATTACATGGCTCAACCCCTTGGATTTAAACACACTGGTTCCAGTTTAGTTTTCAAACTTCATAAATCCATCTATGGTTTGAAACAGGTTCCGAGAACCTGATATGAGCAACTAACTTATACTCTTATAGGCTTTGGAATTGTACAAAGCAAATGTGATCCATCATTGCTTGTTTTTACCTCTGTTGAAAGGTGCATCTATGTTCTAATCATGATATCATTCTCATAGGCTTTTCCTCTAGTTTGATGCAATCTGTTATTCATAAATTGCACTCAGTTTTTTCCCATAACCAACTTGGTGATCTTGACTACTTTATTTACATAGAGGTAAAACGGTTCTCAATCAAATGGCTCTATGCTTTTATCGCAATCATAAAAAATACTTAAGTTGTTCTTTAGATATTTAAGACATTCAATTATGGATCTTTCTTATTTATAAAATAGAGATTTTCACAAATAAAACCTGAGTCAAGTCAATCTTATAAGAAAATATTTGAAGTCACTCTCAACTCAAAATATTAAGACATTAGGTTATAAGTTTTTCTCACTTATAAGTTATTCAACTTTCTTATTTATATCCAAGGACTTCAAACTTACGCTTATCTTCTCAACACTTAAATGATGATTTCGTCTTCTTCCACTCTGAACAATGTTGAAGGCGGATTCAAAAACGGCGATGGAGCTGGTAGCTCGTGATCTTAGGAGGCAACACATGCAGCTTGATCGCACGTGCTCCGACATGCACAAAACATTTCTTTACTTCATCCTCTTAGTGTGGGACTTTCCATCAGATTACGGGGCTTGACTGCAGGTCTTAGGCTAGAATATCTCATTAAAATGATTTAGGGACTAGATTACTTAAAAATAAAAAATTTTAATTTTGTGTTCCAGTCTCCACAGTTTGGCTTGAAAGAAAACTCTCATTTATTTTTATAAAAAAAAATTAAGAAATTTATGGAGTAAAGGCCTATGTTTAGTGATTGTATGAAGTTCTTTGCTTATTCTAGGTGGCTGAAGTTGTTTTGAAGGACTTCATATTAGTTCGTCTGGATAACAATATCAACAAATTCAATCTTCATGTGTTAGCCACTTCTCTTCCTTTATGTGATGATTTTGAATTAGAGCTAATAAGATTTAGTTGTTTTCTATGGACAAGAAATATTTTGGGTGAATGATTTATTTTTTATTTTTTACATTTTTGTTTTGTTTGTCTCTTTTTCCCGTTTTAGCTTTCAATCTATTCTTTTTGGGTGTATTTCTTGCGTAGGGGAAGAGCGAGGAAGAAGAAAAAGAGGAGAGAAAAAAAAGAAAAAGAAAAAGGAAAAGAGGAAGATAAAAAACAACCTACAGAGAAAGAAAAGAAACACAAGAGAAGGAAAATCAGGAGCAAGAAAAAGCTGGGAGAAAAAAAAGAAGAAAAAGAAAAAGAAAAAATGTTACCATCTGTATACCATTTCTATTCTTCCTTCTTTGGTGTCTTTATTTTCTTTTTTCTTTCGTATTGAACTATCTTCCACCTCATTTGATTTTTTAAATAACGTCATGATTCAATAATAATTAAATTTAATACTTTTTTTGAAATTATAAAGAGCAAATGTTATCAACTTTGACCATAAATTGAATAGTGAAAAATAGAGAAGTGATAATACAATTATTATTATAATTTAAAGAGAGAATAAAATAATTTTTTTATTATAAATTTAAAAAAGATATTAAATAAAAAGAAAACTAATTATTTTAAATAAAATTTAATAATATAAAAAATGTGAATAAATATATGCAATTACATATGTGTATTTTCATTAATATGATTATGAGATTTTGAAGAGATATTGTGTTGTTTAGAGAGGTTGGAGGAGTCATATATATTTTTATCAAAATGAAACTTAAAAGAAGTATTTCAGATCCGAGTTGTCCGAATAACAGTTATACTGCATGAACGTGTTTGCGCCATTTCCAGCACCACAATCGAAATCCAGATTTGCCTTCATTCATCTTCTACGCTACCTTGAGTTTGTCAATGATGTCAAACTCAACGGAAAACAGACATGTAGCAGTCTTTGCTTTCCCCTTTGGCACCCACTATAGGCCTCTTTTAAATCTTGTCCTAAAACTAGCTGAAGCCTCCCCAAACTGTTCATTCTCATTCATTTCCACAGCGAAATCTAATGCATCCAACTTCCCAAAGCATTACATTCCAAATAACATCAAGCCCTACAACATAAATGATGGAATCCCTGCGGGTCAGTCAGTTCTAGCCAACCATCCAATTGGAAAAGTTAACCTTTTTCTCCAAACTGGTCCTCAGAACTTGCAAAAGGGTCTACAAATGGCGCAAGCAGACACAAAGAAGAGAGTCACCTGCATAATTGCCGATGCCTTTCTACCCTCTTCTTTCTTCCTGGCTCAGAACCTCAATGTTCCTTGGATTGCATTTTGGCCTCCCAATTCATGCTCACTTTCTATATATTTTTACATTGACTTGATAATTGAGCTTGCATACCATGCTGGAAATTCAACCTTGGATTTCCTTCCCGGGTTGTCTAACATGCGTGTTGAAGATATGCCACAGGATCTGCTCATTGTTGGAGGAAAGGAGACACTGTTTTCAAGGACACTGGTTTCACTGGGTAAGGTGCTACCTCAAGCTAAGGCACTAGTTATAAATTTCTTTGAGGAATTAGACCCACCTTTGTTCATTCAAGATATGAGATCCAAATTGCAGTCTTTACTTTATGTTGTTCCACTTCCTTCCCTGCTATTGCCAACATCTGACACAGATTCAAGCGGTTGTTTCCCATGGTTGGACACCATGAAGTCTAAATCAGTGGCTTATATTTGCTTTGGGACTGTGGTGGCACTGCCTCCGGTAGAAGCTGTGGCGGTGGCAGAAGCATTGGAAGAAAGTGGCATTCCGTTTCTGTGGTCTCGCATGGAAGGTCTAGTGGGTGCTTTGCCAAACGGGTTTGTAGAGAGAACGAAGATGCGTGGGAAAATAGTGTCTTGGGCTCCACAAACCCAAGTTTTGGCACATGATTCCGTGGGAGTTTTTTTGACTAACTGTGGAGCTAACTCTGTGATTGATAGTGTTTCCGGTGGGGTTCCTATGATCTGCAGGCCTTTCTTTGGAGATCAAGGGGTTGCCGGAAGAATGATAGAGGATGTTTGGGAGATTGGGGTGGTAATGGAAGGTAAGGTGTTCACTAAAAATGGATTGCTTAAAAACTTGAATCTGATTCTGGTGAAGGAAGAGGGAAAGAAGATCAGAGACAATGCTCTCAGGGTGAAACAGACTGTCCAAGATGCAATTAGGCCTGAAGGCAAAGCAGCACAAGATTTAAATACTTTGGTCAAAATCATTTCTACGTCATAACATGGTAGTAATAGTTTGATTTGCATTTCACCCAAATGAAATCTGTCACACTAATAAATTGTTAATTTAGAGGGTAATTTTATGTTTATAAAAAAATTGAAATATTTTACTATAAAATAGGTTGTTTGAGAAGAGAAATTGGAGTTATATATATAAATGTAAATTGATTACTTAAAATTAAAATTAGAGAATAGTAAAAGATTGATTATTTTTTTGTAATTTATTCCTTCTTTAATTAGTATATATCCTTTATCTTTGTAAACCGATGTGTTATTTTTATATTAAAGTATTTTTTAATAGTCGTTCTGAATTTTCTCGACTAACATCATTGAAACTATTTTGGCGTGAATCTCAATCAAATTTTTTTAGTTGGAGTAGTACATTATTTTCTGATAATTTTTATATTCTTTGGTAATTTTATATTTAATGATAACTAAAATAATTTATCTAAAACATAAATTTAAATTTAATAAATTTAATCACTTACATATAAATAAAATATTTGAAAATTAAATACTTTTAAATAAGAATGATTCAAGGTAAATGTATTTGAATTTCTTATAAATTTTAAAAAAGTTTATCCAAACAATAAAAATGATTTAATTGAAATATGTTTTTTACTCACGCGAATATATTTTTATATTTATACAGAATCTATTCTGTTTAATATCTGTTAAATATATTTAGAAGTAGCAAATAGTCAAATACAACATTTTATGTGTAATCCACCAAACGTTGTCAATAGTTTGGTAGAGTTTTTATTTTTGTAAGAAAATATTTTATTGAGTAAAAGATATATTTTAAAACCTCCATAATAACAATGTATTGTTTTAAATGTCCTGTGATACAAAATAAGTGTCTTTCCTAGATTAAATCAGTCCAACGGGAGTTAGTGATGACAACTGTTATAATTTATTTACCCACTAATTTCATGGCTGAATTTTTCTTTATTTTTTGAAAATGACACTAGAAGAAACTGATATATATATAGGGATAAACTTACATGCAAGAGTGATACAGGATGTTTGGGAGATTGGGGTGATAATAGAAGGCAGGGCTTACACCAAAAATGGATTCCTTAAGAGGGTAAGAAGATAATGGTGGAAACATTACTTTATTATCTTTTATTTAAATTAGGTATTAAGAGATTTTATTATCTTTTAAGAGAGAAGGTAAAAAAACATTAGGTTATTATTTTGATTTAGGCAGTTATGATTGAAATATTATTGATATTTGATATTTTGTAATATTTTTACTCTTATACATAGAGTACATGAATAGAAATATACCCACATGATATATCAGAAATACATATATACAAAACCCTACAAATTCTCAACAAATTAGTATCTGAGCTTTGGTTCGACACAATGGAAGGAGAAATAAATTTTTCACAAGTCACTATTTCAGTTTTTTATGACGAAAGTTATGACTTATGGGCTATGAGAATGCAATCCTATCTTGAAGGATTGAATGTATGAGAAGTTGTAGAAGAAGATTATATTGTTGATCCACTGCCTGAAAAATCCTACCATAGCTGAAATGAAATTTCATAGAGAAAGAAAAACAAGGAAGACAAAAGCTAAATCATGTCTGTTTGCTGGTGTTTCACAAATGATCCTCACCAGAACCATGTCGCTAAAGTCACCCAAAGAAATTTGGGATTATTTGAAATATCAATATGAAGGGGATGAGAAAATTTGAGGTATGAAAGTTCTAAAAGAGAATTTGAGATACAAAAGATGCAAGAGTCTCAAACAATTAATGAATACTCAAATAAATTGTTGGGTATTGCTAACAAAATAAAATTGTTAGGCAAGAAATTTTTTGATTCCAGAATAGTTGAAAAAATTCTGGTAACTGTGTCAGAGATATATGAAACATCTATTGCTTCATTGGAAAACACAAAAGATTTGTCTAATATTACTTTGGCAAAAGTGCTACATGCAAAAGTGCTACATGCTTTACAAGAACAAGAGCAACGAAGATTGATGAGAGGAGATCATGCTGCTGGTGAGGGTTATTTACTATATCATGATTGAGGTTTTGTCCAAACCAAGAACAACAAAGATACAAATCACGAGTCTTTTTCTGTTTGTCCTTATTACAAGAAAAATAATCACACACCCAACAAGTGTTGGTGGATACTTGATGTGAAATGTCACAAATGTGGTCAATTGAGACATATAGAAAATATATGCAAATCACAACCAAAGGAAGTCGTTCAAGTTATAGATGATAGAGTAGAAGATGTATTTCTCCTTGCATTAACATGTTCTACAATCAACAAATCCACAGGTTGACTTATAGACAGTGGTTGTACAAACCACATGACTCATGATCAATGAATCACATATTTCTAAAGTGAGAATTGGTAATAGAGAAGAAATGGATGTGAAAGGTACGAGAACAATTGCAGTTAAAAGTCATTCGGGTATCAAATTGATTTTTGATGTTTTATATGTTCCTGATATAAATGATAATTTGTTAAGTGTTGCTCAATTATTGGAGAAAAGTTATAAGGTGTCTTTTGAACACAAACTTTGTGTGATTAAAAATACAAATAACTTGGAAATATTCAAAGTTCACATGAAAGGAAAAAATTTTACTTTAGATTTGATGAAAGAAGAGATAATTACAAACGAAGATATAAAAGAAAAGTCAAAGAAAAAACATGAAGAAGATTTCTTGAAGGAACTTAATGTTAATGAGGAAAATAAAGATGTAGATGAAGAAACTGTTTTTAACGTCCATCAAATAGTCAACAGTACTACCATGAAGTTTGAAAGAAACAAAGGAGATGAAGTTGATAAAAGAAGAAATATGTTGATGAAGAAAATGAAGTTGAATGAAGATGTGATCTCTTACGAGAAAGAAGATTACAATAAGTATAAACAAAAATGAGAAAAAATTATAAGCAAAATAAAAGAATTTTTTTGTTATCAAATTCAAATAAATAGATATTAAAGTAAGGAGGAATGTTGGGAATATTACTTTATTATCTTTTATTTAAATTAGGTATTAAGAGATTTTATTATCTTTTAAGAGAGAAGGTAAAAAGACTCACATGATTATTTTGATTTAGGCAGTTATGATTGAGATATTATTGATATTTGATATTTTGTAATATTTTTACTCTATATATACATAGAGTACATGATAGAAATATACCCACATGATATATTAGAAATACATATACACAAAACACTAAAAATTCTCAACAGATAAGAGACAATGCTCTTAAGATAGTGTTTATTTAGTTTATATAAATTTATCAAGATGAAAAGGATTTTTTGAAATAGAGGATTAAAGTTAAAAGAGGAAATTAAAAAAATTGCAGTAATATAAATTACTGGAAAGAGTAAATATTTTTAGAAACATTTATCGGAAAATATAAATGACTAAGAATAGAAAAAAAATTGGTATAAAAAAATTAATAAAAATGGTGACCCAAATTAGTAGGAAGTCCATTGAAAATTTTATCTCTTATTAAGTTGTTAGTAGTATTTTTCACAATTTAAGTTTCTTGATATATAATTTTGTCACCATTTTTTACACTTAATTTGTCATGATGACAGTCATTATCTTATCATACTTTCATACGGTAGGTCTCAGTAAGGATACATCTTTTTATTAAACATCATTTCTCCTATTAATTCTTCAGTGTAATTATTTGTTAAATCTTCAACTTTCTAGAACTCTTCTTCAAGTACACAGATATCATTCTTTGATTTGAAAAATCTTATCTTTTAGAAGCCATCATCTTTTGGAATGATCATATCTAAAGGATAAAAACTGAGTGGTCTTTAGGATGCGTTAACAAGATTGAGATCCACTGGTCTATTATAATAGTTGTTAACTTTGCAAATATGTTTAACTAGCTGAGTTCTGTAGCTATCATCTAAAGGATATGTTTCAAAACTTCCTTAGATGTAAGCTTTATTCTTTGATCATAGTTGTCCTATAGGATTTTGAAAATATGGATGGTAGATAATGAAGATTGAAGTGAGAGTTTTAAGAGAGTCTTCAGTCATTCCCCTTTGTCAAAAGGGATATCAGGATTAAAAATGACTGCTGGAAAGGTTTTATATTTCAGAGTTTCATGGAGAAAATAAAAATTGCGAGATTTTGCATATTGGAGGATTTCTGCTGGAGAGGTTAGGTTTAGTTCGGGAAGATATACTCTTACAATTTTGTCTTTGTTGGATAAGGGTTTGACCATAAAGATGAGAGGAAAACTATGAGTATAAAAAATCAATTGGAAAATTTTCTTTGGTCTAGACAGAAAATCAGGAATCGTGTTTTGGTTTCCTTTGATATGTTTAACAGAAAAATCATACCTTGAAAACCGGTTAATTAGTCAAAGGATTTGGGGATTTGGAGGCATCCTATTTTTGAACTCAAGGATTCTTGGAAAAGAAGAGTTGTCCATTTGTACTTCAAAATTATGTCCTTTAAGATGGAAGTCAAACTTTTTTATTCCGTTTTTTACAACTTAAGCTTCCTTAAAAGTGGTGTGATAGTGTTTTTCAGCATTTTTGAACTATCCACTAGCATGACCACAGTAATACTTTTTTTCATTCTCTTCTTCAATGAGAACTGCTCCCCAAAAATTATCACTTGCATCAGTCTGAAGTATTCTTTTTCCATTCCTTGAGATTTTTAGAGTTGGAGGAGTTTGAACTATTTTCAAATTCTTTGACTACTCGAGTTTGTTCTGGTCCCTAAGAAGGAGGATTCTTCCTTAGCAATTTGGACAAAAGACTAGTATATCTGGCAATATTAGGAATGAATTCTCTGATGTAGTTAATGATTCTAAGAAATTGCTGAATTTGCTTTATGGTTAAGTTTTTATCAAAAAAATTGAGAAGCTCTTCAGTAATGTGGGGTTGAAGTTGATATGTGCCTTAAGAGAAATGCATCCCAAAAAATTAATTTCTTTTTGGACCAAATGAATTTTCTTTTCATAGAGCATAATCCTGTGTTGATGAGATATTTCA